TTTGGATGATGAGCTAGCCTTGAATGCTACACTCTTCTTCTTCTTGTCTTCATCTTCCTTCTTCTCATCCTTGTCTACCCCCTCCCTTTCCACACGGTATGTCTCTTGTGTCATAACATCACCTAGTACTTGGTTAGGGGTGGGTTGCTTCAATCCTTCTTTAATGATGATCAATCTCAATGTCTCAAATCTTGGAGGCAAGCACATCAAGAATCGATGAGAGATATCATCATCATTGATCTTCTCTCCCAATGTCTTTAAGTCATTCACAATTACTTGGAGCCTATGGAACATCTCTGAAATACTCTCATCATCCTTCATCTTAAAACTTGTTAACTTATCCTTGAGAATGTATAGCTTCGAACTCTTCACCGCCGGTGTACCCTCATAGGTCTCCTCCAATCTCTTCCACACCTCACTAACTCACTCACAATCCTTGATTTGCTCAAACACCTTGGAATCAATGGCATTGTAAATGGTGTTGAGAGCCATTGTATTGCATTGCTTGTTGGCCTTATCATTGTTGGTGCGATTGTCCGGATCAAGAATCACAAAGTCACTCTTGGTCACATCCCATACTTGGTCATTGATTGAACCAAGATACATCTTCATCTTTCTCTTCCAATAGTCATAGCATGTACCATCAAAGAATGGTGGTTTGCCCCCTACATGGTTGAACACAACTTGAGGCATCTTTTGACACCGAGGTTGTTAAGCCTTCAATCAAACGGTGATCATGGCTCCGATACCACTTGAAAGGTCCTAATATGGCTAGAGGGGGGTGAATAGCCTATTTAAAATTCTACAAAGCACTAAAGCAAATTGATTAGTGACACAAATGGCGTAATGCAATTTTGCTCTAGCTCTATAAGGGTTGCAAGTCACCTATCCCAACAATTCTAGTTGCTATGATCACTAGGCACAACCAATAGCTAAGTCACTACTCACTAAGAGCTCTCAATAAGTCTACACTAAAGAGCTCCATTAGAAGATACTAAGCTACAAAGCAAGCTCTCAATTCTAGCTACACTAAAGAGCTTGCTACAACTAATTTGCAAGGAGGTAAAGGAGTGAGTAGGGTGACTATACCGCCATGTCGAGGAATGAACCAATCACAATATGATGATAACCAATCATTAGGAGAAATCCAATCACAAGAATGACACATGATTTTTCTCCCGAGGTTCATGTGCTTACCGGCATGCTAGTCCCTGTTGTGTCGACCAACACTTGGTGGTTCAGCGACTAATAGGTATCACACACCTAGCCCACCACAAGAGGCGCCGTAAGGACCTACCCACAAGTGCCACTAGAGTTACCTTTTGGCTCTCCACCAGGGAGGATACAAGACCCCTCACAATCACCGGAGCCGGCCACAAACAATTACCAACACATACCGAAGCTCCTCCGCTGCTCCAAGCCATCTAGGTGGCAACAACCACTAAGAGAAATAAGAAATCCACGGCCACAACGATCTCCAAGTGCCACTAGATGCAATCACTCAAGCAAATACACTTAGAATCACTCCCAATCTCACTATGATGATGAATCAGTGATGGAGATGAGTGGGAGGTGTTTCCTTAGGCTCACAAGGATGTCAAGTATGTCAAAGTGCCAAGAGTGACAGCCTCAAACCGGCCAAACACTATTTATAGAACCCCAAGACTCAAAGAGCCGTTGGGCACTCTAGGGCTAACCGGACGCACTGACCAGACTCAACCCAGTGTCTGGTCGACCAGCATCTGGTCGCACCGATGGACACCACGTGTCCTCGTTCAAACCTCAGCCATCGGACGTGACCCCGTGTCAGGTCCAGCGTCCGATCGTGTTCCCTGTGCTCTCAGCCAACGCCGCGTCACCTTGCTATAATTGACCGAACACGACGGGGTGAGTCCGGTCACCCTACGGCCAGCGTTCGATCATGGACTTTTAGCTCCTTTTCTTTTTCTAAGTCCACAACCACTTCACCCTTGCTTCCAACTTACTAGCCACAAAGTGTAGAACTTGTGTGCACGTGTGTTAGCATTTTTAGAGCATTTTACAAGGGTTAGAAGTTAGCACAATAGGTCCCTAAATGCAATGCATGAACAATGTCACCTAGTGGCACTCGATAAACCGTTTAGCCAAAGATTTCCCCTCTTTTTTGTACGGCTATCGATCCTAAATCACTCACTCCTTCTATGGTGTCTTGAGTGCAAACCAAAAATGGCTCCTATCAATATACCTTTGCCTTGAGCCTATTTTTGTTTTTCTCTTTCTTCTTTTCCAAGTTGAGCACTTGATCATCATCACATGTGGTCATCTCCTTCTCTTGAGTGCCACCATGATCCATACTTGGATTGCACCAACCTAGCTCATATCATAGCTCATGACAAAGGTTAGTGCTAGGTTTCATCAATTATCCAAAACCAAACTAGGGCTTTCACCACGGTGGTGGATCCTGGCCTGGCCGCCGTGGGGGCGGTGGCAGGGCTCCGGAGCCATGGTAACGTGAGGGAGCGCCAGAACCTATCCACAAACTCCATGGATCGATAGATCAGGGCGAGGGGAGTTTGGATCTAGGTCTGGAAAGGGAGAGCTTGCTGCTGGTTGGTGGCTCACCGGTGCGGGGCTTGCGGCGACGCGGCCTCGTGGGGTGGGAGGGATGGGTCGGGGATGCGACGGGTCCATTCTCCCTCCACATCTCTGGGGATCCATGCTCAAGTTTGGTTGAAGATCTTTCTTCTGGCAGGTTCAGCGGCGATGGCACCAAGGTTGGAGGTGTGGTGTAGGCATCAAGATGAGGACCGACAAGCTCAATAGTGGGCCCGATAGCTAGGGGTTCAGAAGTGGGCTCGGCAGGGGGTTGTGTTTTTTCTATTTGATTAACAGAGATAGGCATACTCACCAACCTCTGTTGTTTCCAATTAACCCAGAGATCTGGTCAAAGGCGGGTGAGTACTCTACCTTTGCAAAGCAAGAATGTAGTAGTGGTCTTCATATTTGGTCGCTTTACGCATTGCAATATAGTGACTTGCATTCATGGGGTCTTCTAATGTTGTTTTTTATAAAAAAAAATTTGGGGTCTTCTAATGTTGTTTTTTTATAAATTTTTTCATCTTCTTTAGAAATAACATGTTTTGTTGAAGGAAGGAGACATAAGTTTCGTGAACACAAGATCTCAACCTTGAAGATCTGGATCGAGGGATTTTGGAGACAACCTAAGGACTTAGAGGTGGAAGGCTTGCTTTTGAGGATGGTAGCAGCTAGTTCGTTTGTTCAGTGTTTGGTGTAGGGTGGTCGACGTCTGTTTCACACTTTTGTGAGCTTATTTAGCCTTGTAAGCTGGTACCCCAGCAGGGTTGTGGTGTGCGTTTAAACCTCTGTTACTCTTGTTGCTTTGTATAAAACAGGGTATAACCATCGTCAAAAAATAAATAAATACATATACTTTACGTAGAAAAGTTACTGAAACAAATTTGATATTGTAAATGTTGGTGTATTTTGTTATAAGATTGATCAAAACTAAAGAAGTATGCCTTAAAAAAACTTAAAGTGATCCATGATTTTAAATGAAAGGAGGGACAACCAACAACATTCGAATTCAACATCCCCTTGGTCACATGCACAAACACTAGAAAAAATTAAAAAATGAGATATTGGCACCCAGGTTTTGCCTCCGTTTTATAAGGCCATACTTCGAAGAGCCCATGCTACCCCAGAGGAAGGAGTTAGAAATAGTTTATGCTATAGTTTGCGCAACATTGTTTGCATTAAGAGTAACCGAAACTGCGAGGAATTATTGCAAACTAGCCTTGAATCTAAAAGAGGCACTAGCGCCTGGACGTCCGGCGCCCACAGCACATCCGAACGCATCTCCCAGTCTCCAGCCAACGGAAGAGGATAGCGTGCTCTCGCGTTCGCGCCGCAATCCCCCAGTGTGTCCCGTCCATCGGCCTCGACGCACCCCCTTCGCCGGCCCTCGCTGTGCCCCCTCCACAGTCTAAGAAGGATGCAAGGCGACAGAAGGTGAGGAGGAGACACCAAGACGAGGCAGCAGAAAGCGATGAGGGAGATGCAACACCCGATCTACTTTTAAAATATCCAGATACAACACTTGCAACATATGTCTGAAGATAGATGAAACATTTAAAACATGCATCTAAAACACTTGTAAAAACGTCTGGAAAAAAACACTTGAAAATAGTTGCAACACACACGCAACATCCAAATATACAGCTTGCAACATATGTGTGAAACATATGCAACATCTATATAAACACACTTGCAACATATGTCTGAAAAAACAGATGAAGCATTGGGAACAGACGTTTGCAACTATACGTGTACAACCATTGCAACATATGCAACATTCCAATCTACTTTTACAAGGTCCATACTTAGAAACATCCTTTGCAATATATCTCTGAGACATATGAAACACTTGAAACATACTTTTGCAACATGCGCTTTTAGAAAAACATCACCTTTTGCAATATATCTCCGAGACATATGTGGAAGGTCGCGCCAAAGCGGACTTAAACATAGTGGACGCAATTTGGATGGAGCATAGCGCAACGGCTTAGCACAAACACAAACATAATGTCACCTTGTTGTTTGGACGAATGGAGAACGGCTCGACACCATTGGCGCATGGGCAAAATCCGATGCCACGAGAGGATGAGCCACGAGGTCCGGACAGGAAGTCACATAAGCGATCGGGCAAGTGGATGAGGATGAGCCACTTCCAAACGGGAAGTCGGGGGACGGACGCCCGAGCCATGTCAATCTAATGTTTCCTTTCGGCTTTCAAAAAAAATAATGTTTCCGTTTGCTGATCTAAAATGGAAAGCGTAAAGGCGTGAAAGCGTAAAGGCGTATTTTCGTGCTTTGCGCCATCTTCGTCCCCGCGCTCCGCTGAGCGGAAAAAATAAATAAAAAAGAATCCTCCATTTCCCATCGCGTTCAGACTTCCACTCTCGGTCTACGCTACGCTACAGGCGCCGAGCAAGAGACCCACCATGGAAGCGGCAGCGGCGGCGGCGGCACCATCTGTTTCGGTTGCCGGCGGCAGAGGGAGGGACGAGAAGACGCAGCCTAGGCCGGGGGCGGCGGCGGCGGCGGCGTGCGACGTGGAGGCGCTGCGGAGGTGCCTTGAGGAGAACAAGGGCAACCGCGTCAAGTGCCAGGCGCACATCGACGCCTTCCGCTCCTCCTGCTCCGCCGGCCCTAACACCAGCTCCAAGCTGCAGTCCTCCTAGAGAGGAGAGGACGGTGTCAGATCGCCGCAAGGATCGGGCCTTCTTCGGGATCGAAACAAAATTTCTTTTCTTTTTCTCCCCATACAATGTCTTCTCAGTTGTGGCCCTTGGTAAATTTATTTACTACTATACTTTCTTTGAATAAAATAGGATGCATGCTTCGGACCATCGAAGGGGAATCGGAATCCATATAGAGCAAAACATGATCTGCTTTACCATGCATGATAAATTTTCTTCTGCTTTATCTGTAAAGCCAGACTGATTTGAGTCGTTCTCCGCACTCCGGTTTAGTTTGTCAGACAGCAAACCAATCAGTCTCGAGCATGCAAATTTTACTGATCAAATGAGCAATCAATCAGTTATCAGTGGGCTATCACGGCCATTTGCATATTATGACCAAATGAAGTCTGCATCTGAACATAGCCCAGAGCCACATAGGAATTGTTCTTTGTGTTTTTCCATGGCATTTCTGAAGCCAAGCGTGCAGAACTCCTGAAACAATGGTTTAAGATCCACGAAATTAGACAAAAGTGGGTTCACACGGATCTCTCAGCTCCGTTGGGTTTCTGGCGTGCGCTTGGACTTGGATAGTACATACCTGCAGCAATCAGCAGCAGCTCGCGCCTCCTCCTCCTCCTCTGGCACACGTAGATGCACTGCCGCAAACGATGGCCAACGCGGGGCTGCGCGCCTACCGTGAGGTGCTGCGCCTGGTGCGGCGGCTGCCGGCGGAGACGCGGCCCTACTACGCCAAGTAGGCCCGCGAGAACTTCGTCAACTACCGCGACCTCTCCGCCGACGACGACCTCGCCGCCCTCCTCCGCCGCGCATACACCCACTCCACATGGGTCCTCTCCAAGGTACGTACTCCGTTCTCAAATCTCAACCTTCCCGCATCAAGTCCACCTCCACCGAGTTAGTCGTCTAAGCAAGCAAGGCTGGCTTGCACTTGCAGTACTCGATCGACGCGGGGAAAGCGGCGGCGCGGCTCAAGGATCTTACCGACGGCCACGCCGGGCTGTGACGCACGCAAGGTGTTCGACCATACGCCGCTCTTCGCTTGAGGATTCAGTTCAGCGTCTTTGTTTTTGGCACTTGCGTTACTCTGTTTAAGGTTTTGGTTGCTTTGATCGCTACTTTCACGTTGTTGTATGGAGGCTCCCTACTTTGGGGAGCGATGCAAGTCAACTACTCATGCTCATCATCTTCCTGCTGTCATGCCTCTGCATGCTCACCCTTTTCAATTCAATTCAACTTTGTGCAGCTTCGAATTGCCAATGCTTGCTGAACCTTTTTTTTCTTCCGAAAGAGCGGCAAGAGTTTTGCGGTGCTGAACTTTTTTTAAGAACGTGTTGAGCATGTATTCCGTAAGAATTGAGAAGAAGTTTTTACAACCACTAAACGAAGACAACAGAAAGTAAACAAAACTACTACAGAACTTGTAGCCTCAAAGGCAACCAAGGAGTGATAGAAACGACCGAAGAACCAAACTAGCAAAGCAAAGACTACAATCAAGAACTCACGTACTCTCACACAAGACAGAGGACTAACCCTGGAGCCTAGAACTTCAACAACTACGACGAAGCAAGTGCGGGAGAGGCCGCGATGCCAAGACCAAGCAATGGATAAACTGCAACAAGAGAAGCCACTATAGCACAAATCTACCGAGAGAGCAACGTACTGCGAGCAAGCCACCAGAAACCCCACAACTAGAAAGAAGTTGCTTCAAGGCCACGAGGATGACTAAACAAAATAATGTCTGCAACTAGAGAGCAGTTGTCACAGCACCACAAAAGCGACACCGAGCAAGCAAATACTAGAGAGTCCTCCCTCTGTCCCAAAATAAGTGTTGTTCTCGTTTCCCAAAAAGTCAAATATTTTTAACTTTGACCAAATATATACAAGAAAATATTAATATTTATAGTACATAATTAGTACCATTAGATAGATTATTGAATCTATTTTCACAATAAACTTATTTGGAGATATAAATGTTGCTAATATTTTCTACAAACCTAGTCAAACTTTAAAAAGTTTGACCGGCGTAAATACCATAGGGACACTTATTTTTAGGACGGAGGGAGTAGCCATTATAGCACCACAACAATGACCTAAAATATCGAGAGCTCACAACTAGAGAGCTACCACCTCCACTCCACAAGCGACAACCAAGCAAGCAATCGCCAAGATCCATTGCAACGACCAAGAAACAAATAAACGCCCGACAGAACAACAATGATCATGCACAACAAGGCATTCATGACATGAGAAGGAGCCATCATAGCACCAAAGCGACAATCAAGTAATAACCAGATCCCTAGCAGCGGGAGGACAGTCACATCAACTCCATAAGCAATGACCAAGCACATCCACAACTCCATAAGCAACGACCAAGAAGCAATGACCCAACAAGGAAGGCCTAGGCCTTGGGTTAGACAAAAAAAAACAACGACCAAAGATCAAATGACATATTACGATAGAGTAATCGCCTCAACACCACCAACAAAAGGCCAGGCAACACAGAGAGCCCCGAGACAAGTGGGAAGCAACCTTAGTTCCACCGGCGATGACTAAGCAACCAACAAGAGCTCGCAAATGAGAGAGCAGCAGCAAGGTTCCACAAACGATGACTGATGAACAAGCAGAGGAAGTCAACAACCAATGCCAAACCCACCAGCAAAGGTGGCGTGGAGAAAACTAAGACAATGCCCCAAGAGGAAACAACGCACAAGGCGCTATCATTGTCCATTCAACCAATATAGACTACCTGAGGAACAAACAAGGCAAAGGCTCAAAAGACAATGCCTCCAACAAGGTTAAGACACCTGAGGGCATCGCCATTGTCAAAAAAAATCTCATCGTCTACTCTAACCACCGGCCGCTAACTCCGAGGCATGAAAAAACAGAGGCGATCCAAACAAACATCATAGGCTTAAGCAAAGAGAGAGAGAGAGAGAGAGAGATTTCTACCCATTGATTGATAGGTGGGTCCCACTTAAATAAAGAGGATGAGTTTTCTCAATCTGCTACAACAACACTCTCCTAAAACCAGAAATCATATTTTCTCAATCCCCTATAGCAAATTTTAAGGGAAATGGAAAAGAGGATCTGGTGGAAATGCTTAAGGTTGCAAAGAAGATAACATCTGTGATTCAATAAGGTCACATCCACCTCAACAATCAATACTACAAGTATAGACATCAAATGGAACTTGATAATAAAGCTCCACACGGTTTGTGCTAATTGCAACTACACTGCAAACTTCTTCAGTGAGAAATTGTCACCAAATAACAAGCCCAGATGTCCATCATGCCTTCTGATACAATTTCCTTCAACAATCTCAAACAGACCTCCGGTAAGAAACAAATCATAATTATTCATACAAATAGGGGCTATGTCATGACTATCCTAATGTTTCAGGCTAGCGGTATTTGTGATATAGGGCATGTTCGCTGGTTGGTGCTGGTGCTGGTTTGGGCTGGCTGGTGCTGGTTTTTTTGAGAGGAAAACACTGTTGGCTGGCTGGTTTGAGCTGGCTGAAACCAACAAACGAACAGGCTGATAGCATCCGCATATGTCTACAGTGCATGCATGTCCACGGGGTCAGTGGAGGATCAAGGCAGTACGAGTGTACCCACTGTGATCTGCAGACGTGGCAGCTTAGAAGAAGCTCCTCAGGCTCATGGAAGTGGCATCGGTAGCATGCTCCTTGTCCAGACTAGACTACAGATTCAGTTATAGGAGGGGTAATCATTGCAGATACAAATATATTTAAGCAGCATGGAGACATGAAATAATAAGATCTCACCATTGATTGCAATAAATCGTAGCCTTCATTGCCAAACACGAAAACATCAGTAGAAGATTCACAAGGAATGGTCTGTGAGTATATCTTCTGATCTGAAGTGCCTGCCTCGTCCATCTTACTGATCCTTGCATGTTGAGACTTTACCCCTAGAAGCCTGAAATGCAGGATGCAGCTCTAAGAATAATTGAATAAGCATTTCTTGTCGAACATTAATGGTGGTGGGAAAAAACTAAATAGTAAATAAACTATAGCAAAGTGAGATTATTGCTAATCCCTTGGCCCAAGACTTGCCATTGATTGGATGTAACGTATTAGTTGTGTTGCTTTTTTTTTCTTTTGACATCTTAGTCATGTTCCCTACATGTTATAGGTTGGTTTCATTTATCTCAATTATGTCATAAAGCTATCTTGAATCTGCATTACTACATTCTCAACTGTCTTAGTCTGAACTAAACCAGGTTCAAGAACACAAATCAGTTCTAGTAGGGCAACAGATGTGTCTCCAAACATTGAATACATACATGGAGAACATAATACATAATCAAAAGATTTTCTTCTTAATATAATGATACGCTCTTCTGCAAGCTTGAAAAACAAATAATCTCCTACAGTAAAAGAGAAAGAAAGTAACCCCACGCTCCGTCGGTCCGCCCCTCCCTCCCTTGCGATACGGAAATCCCCTCGTGTCTCCAGCGTTGACGGAAATCCCCACCGCCTCGCGGCTTCTCGATCTCTCCTCGCCCGTCCTCTCCGTCCCGATTCTTCTCCTCCGCCGCTTCCAGGCCCTCCGATCGCCGCCCCTGCCTCCACGCAGCTTCCGGCGACGCCGTGCTCCCGAGCGACGTCCTCCCTCCCCCTCCCCGAGGTTGCGCCACCGCCGCTGGTACCCACGGTGCCACCGGTGCCAGGAAACAGCCGCTCCGCCCTCACCGGCTCCGACTCGCGGTGTGGTCCGCCTTTCCCATCGCCGCGCGCTCTACCCCTCCCTCTTCCCGGCTCCGGTACCTGACGTTGTGCCGCGCTACCACGGGAGCCCCAGCGCGGGCAAACCCTAGCGAGGCAACCCGGGCGTCAGGCTTCCACGTGAGTACATTTCTTGCCAATTTAATTCTTCCTTCATTTCTTATTGTTAGCAATAAATGACCATGCCATTTTTTTAGAGGTTGCTAATGCAGATGTTGATGGTCTGGTG